GGAGAGCAAGGTCAAGTTTGCTGCTTGCACCTTTGAAGTAAAAGCCCTAACATGGTAGAATAGCCATGTTAAGTCACTATCTCTTATAGTGGCTAATGCTATGGGCTGGGAAACTTTGAAAGACCTCATGATTGAGGAGTAATGCCCGAGGGGCGAGATCCAGAAGCTGGAGGAAGAACTGTGGAGCCTAACCATGAAGGGCTCCAACGTAGTCGCCTACACCGCCAGATTTTGTGAACTGGTGGCCCTCTGTCCCAACATGGTTCATACTGAGGGAAAGAAAATCGAGAGATATATATGGGGGCTGATGCCACCATACCAGGGAAATGTTTTGGCATCACACCCCACTACATTTGATAGTGCCAAACGATTGGCACAGCAGCTCATAGACCATGGGGTTCGTACCCCGGCCGCAACAACAACCCTGGCCATCTCAGAACCCGCCAAAACCGCTGATTCCAAGCGGAAGTTTTGGGATGACAAAAAGAAGACGATCCTTATATCCACAGAAAGGTAACGAGAATCTCTACACTTCTATCAACTCATCATTGCCTTAAAACTTTCCGAACTAAAATCCAAAATTCATAAAAAGCTCAAACTGCCACTTTACGGTTATACCCTTGGGCTACAAATCACAAATCGAACCCCAAGATCATTTAACCTACATTATCCACACCCAAAGGGGGTCCAAGTCTCTCTTTCCCAAAGGCCCTAAGACATATGATAACCGGTCTTCGGGTCACGACCCTGCATTAGGAAACTATTCAGAACATGGTGTTACAACTCTCCCCCATTTAAATTATATTTCGTCCTCGAAATTACTCCTTACCACCCTCCTGAAAACCAACACAACAAAACCTCCTAATGTTGAACAAACCATTTATCCTTAAAATGTCGAACCAACACGTTACTACTAAAATTCCAAAACACCATAACTTGTCTGACATCTACACAGACAAAAACATTCCGAAACACAATCACGATGACCACTTACTACAATTTAAACTGAGAAACATCCTTTGGTCCGGAACCATCCAAACTGATACCCTTGGCAGGAAGATTCCTCAACCATAACTTGCTGACGAAGGATCGTTTTATATATATGACGACTCCCAACGCGAGTCTCGGCCCAATGCCCATAAGATACATAGCTCATATCCCGAGATCCATAGATTTACTCTCGTTTTTTGTCCGAAGTTTTCTGATTTCGCGGCGACCTTCCACTGAACTGAGGTATAAATCCACACTCCACCACTGAGACTGACAACCTCACACCTGTTCTAACCACTAGGCTCCTACTGAGAGTTTAACTGATAAAGGCTACCCTAGCCTATGCATCACACGAATGCCAAATACTGACCACTTAGTCAACCCGATCTAACCATAATCCAATATCTTGATCCAACTGGTCCCTACCGGGTCTCACCGGCACTGTCATAACCATATGGGCCTCGCCCACGGGTCTCACCCAGACTGCACAAACGAACTGGCCACACCCACGAGTCTCACCCAATCGAGTGCTACATAGTGAATGTCACGGCTACCCCGTAGTCTTACAACACTTCCATGATGTCATGGCCCCACACGTGGTCTTATCGTTCGTCTACTATACCGACCATAATCATCATGAGTCGAACTCGCGTCCGACTTTTCCAAATCAGGTTCTCGGGTCATGCTTCGAACCCCAAGGACTTAATCAGACAAAAACAGGCAAAGAAGCTCTAACACAACCCTCAACCTGAATTCAATTCCTAGAAATCCGAATGATTCTCCCCCACTTGGATTTGACTGCATTCTTCCAATCCACAAAATATGATGGATTTCCGAACCAACTCACATCCTTACATTTCAAACTGTCGACAAACTGAGCTTACAAATACCAGCGTTCCATCACTAGCCGATCTCAATGATCGTACAAACATTCGAAATCCAGATGAACACTCCCCGAAATCTCAGCAAGTCCGATAACCCCAATCACTTCCTATGATACATCACCAAATCCTTAAGTCCTTTATTCTTATGAACTATAATCCTTGACTAGAACTGGCGAATCACCACCCCAACCTCCCACTCTCCAAAGGATCTCTGCATTCTATCCATCTTCAACCCTTTGCGATTATGAAATTCCTTTGGCACTTCCAATGTCCAAACAAACTCATGCGACTGCCATCATCATCTTCTTGCTACCGCTCCTTCCCTAGCAACGGTAGTGATTGGACCTAAAGGTCCTTCCATGAATGACTTCCGTTCCTACTTGAGCAAATGCTAACACGTCTAAACTCTGACTTCGTTGTTGAACTAATCATGTTAATTCGTCTATAGATATCCCAAGCGATACCCCTGAATTGTCCCCCATTTTAGGGACATATGTGTTAGGTAGGCCCAGGGATCACTGATTAGTCGAATGAGCCCATCCCTCTGCCCTATCATTTGTTGGTCGATCCGGCTGGCGGCTCCTGCGTTCGGGGCCCCTTTATACTAGTTTGATGCAAGGAGTCCCTCTAGTCGAATCCATAATCACGCCCTTCTTATCTACGAAATTGACCCTTCCTTTCCTTCCCCAGCTTTGAGTGATTAGGTGTTAGGGATTTCTCACAGTCTAGGGACTGCCTTGCTTTTCATAGCCCTGGCTAATGAACCAGAACAACAACTGAACAAATTGAATCCAACCCTGTAAGATGTTCCCCACTCATAACTCTCGACATGCAAAGATGGCATATAACAATCCTTGATAACAGAAACTAGGCAATAATGGAGAACTAACCCAAGATAATGCTCTTCCTTTCCTTCCCCAGCTTTGAGTGATTAGGTGTTAGGGCTTTCTCACAGTCTAGGGACTGCCTTGCTTTTCATAGCCCTGGCTAATGAACCAGAACAACAACTGAACAAATTGAATCCAACCCTGTAAGATGTTCCCCACTCATAACTCTCGACATGCAAAGATGGCATATAACAATCCTTGATAACAGAAACTAGGCAATAATGGAGAACTAACCCAAGATAATGCTTACCCATACCAACACAAGATTCCAAAGCTATATACATATATATATATATATATATATATATATATATATATATATATATATATATATATATATATATATATATACACACACACACAGATAATAAAGCATGAAAGAAATACAAAAGATAACATACCCGCGATAGCATCTGATGAAACTCTGGTCTCCCCCGACTGACACTACAATGCTCGGCTCCTTACTGCTGGGGCTCCTACCCTACCCTCACGACTATCAGTGATCCTCAAAGTTACTGGAGCAGGTTCACTCACTGCTCCACCTCTCAACATTGGACAATCGGACTTCTTGTGGCCCACCTGATAGCAGTGAAAACACATCGAAACCGATCCGCGGGGGCAATCTCTACTATAATGACCCATCTTACCACAACTGAAACAACATCGCTCTGTCTCCCGATATCCTCCCTCATGGGTCCTCCCATAGTTGGCACAACGTCCCCGACCTTGATGGCCTCCCAAACGTGGATCTTGAGTCTTGGGCATCTTCGCCTGGCCCACTGCGATCTGAGTCTGCTATGACTTCCTCTTCCTAAGGTGCTCCAAATCAATCTCCCGCTCTCGGGATTTAGCGATCATATCATACATGGTCTCGCACCCTGGCAAACTCACAAACTCCCTGATGTCATCCCTCAGCATGTCATGATACCTTACCTTCTTCATCTCCTCGTCCGTTGCATACTGCAGAACCAACAAAGCTCTCTCCTGGAACTTGGCAGTGATCTTTGCCACAGTCTCAGTCGTTTGGCGAAGTTCCTGAAACTCCCTCGCCAACTGCTGCACCTCAATAGCTGGTGCAAACTCGGCCCTAAACCGGGTCACAAACTCGCCTCCCAAAGTGAAACCTACCTCCTCCCACCAATCTCGAGCTTTGTCTTTCAGAAGACAGGAAACAAATCTGACTTTCGACCCCTCGGGGCAGAAACTCGTCCGGAAAGCGTCCACCATATCCGCTAACCATCTCCTACTGGCAATGGGGTCCTTCTCGGCTTCTCCCCAAAGAACTCAGGAACTCCACAAGCACGAAACTCACGGAAGGAAAGAGTGTGAGCTCTAACAATAGTCATAATCTCAGTACGGAATGCGTCCAGACGCTCATCCAAAATCTCGATAATCCCCTCCTTGACCGTACCGAAAATCACCGGAGCCTGCTCCAAAATACCACGGGTAATCTCCAACGAGATGAACTCATTTCATTTCATTTATCTCCAACTCGATAACAAAAAATACAATTTTCTTGCACTTTTCTTACTCTTATTTTCTTTCTATTTCTTTTATTTTCTTTGTTAAAACTCAGGAACTAGACTTTATTGGTGTGACTATCTTTCTCCCTCCATCCTTTACGTCCTTTGAACTCAAGCAAAGACAAAGAAAGAGACAAAGGAAGAAAGAAACCAACTTCGATCTATTGATCAGTTTAGCAGTTATTTGCTTCTGTTCTGTGTGAAAGAAGGATATTGAATTGGCTATCATGAAATGGAAGCATAGCACGAGACTAAACCTTACTTGGAAGACATGGAATATGTTCGACGATATAGAGATCTCTAGGAAAAAAAACGTTCTAAGTGGAAAAAAATTGTAAAACCTACAAATTAAGGTTAAATGTTTTGATATTTTCGAAGATATATATAAATTTTTTTATAAATGCACTAAAAATGTCAATCGGTTAACTATTACGAGTGAAAGTTGTAGAAACTCTTCAACAAAGAGATATGGATATTAACGCCCGGTGGCGTGAATAATAAAATTATTAAAATGTTATTTAAATGAAATTTTTAGACATTGTTTTGGGTTTAAAAGAATAATCATAAATATAAGTGACCTCTCTGAGCAAAAATTTATCTGAAAATAAATAAATACAATAATCGTAAAATAAATACAATAATCCAAGAAAACAAGCCATCGTCACACCATTACCACTTACAATAATCAACAAATAAAGTGGTTGAGCGGACTGGCGTCAAGTGGCCGCCGGCGGTGGTGGCGGTGGTGCTGAGCTAGGTGTCGGATTACCTCCGCCTCCACCTCCGCCGCCGCTACCATTGCTCTCCCAAGGCCTGATTGATAATATGATGATAAGAATCACAATCAACACCAAAATAATCCCAAAACAAGCCCATTTCCTGGTGTTCTTCTGATGCTTACGCGCCACCTGTAGATGGGTGGCGCCACGGTTGACGAACGAACTAGCACGGTTCACCTGATTCTCAATATCATCCAACTGCTCTCCCCTGACTCTCCACCAACACCGCCATGTCCATAAACACCTGATGCAATTCCTTCAAATTCCTCTCGATCTCCTTAACGGCGTCGTGTCGTTCCTTGATCTCCAAGATCGTGTCCATCACTTGCCCTCTCCCTTGCTCCTGAATCGCCTTCTGCAAAAACGTCTCGCTTTGTCCGGTGGAAATCAAGTTGTCTACAGTCGATTCGTCGGGGTTTTCGCCGGTGACGGTGTAATACCGTCGCTGGACGGTTTCGCGATACTCCGACGCCATTTTAGTACGGAGATCGTTGAAGGAATTCATCGAATCAGAGAGTTTTTTTACGGAGGCCGTTGACGACGGAGGTCCGAGTACGATCTGAAGAGCTTCCAGGTCCACATCCAGGGAGACTCCGATTCGCGGCGTTGGATCGATCTAGGGCTTCTAAACGTACTTTGATGAACTTGGCCTTTTTCAGAGAAACAGAGACGTCGTTATCCATCTTAGATCTCAACTCCTTCACTGATTTGGCGTTGTGTAGGGTTTTGCTATGCTCGTGTGACGATTGGAGCTGGTTATGGAGCGTTTCAAGTGCTCGGAGCTCGTCCTTAATCGCTTCAACGTCTTCGAAAAACTTATCGAGGTTGGCGCCTCCGGTCGACGGCGAGTTACCTGTCATCTCGACGTTGTTCTGAAAACGAGACGGCGGCGATCCTTCCTCGCTGCGGAAACGAGAGAAGGATCCGGAAAACAGATCGTTCATGATTCTTGTGTTGCTCTTGTCAAAGGTTCTGATTCAGATCTTGATTTGGTAGCAAAACAGATGAAGATTACAAAGTTATGCGAAAGCAGAGTGGGATTGAGGTGGGTATAGATAGAGAAATTGAAGGAATAGCTCTTCAATGGCTGCTTGACAGGTATAACTGTTCAACTGTAGAAAGTCAACGATGAAGAAATAGCCGAGAAATTGCTTATCCACCAGAGAAGACGTCCGCCTTGACCAAGTAAAAGGAGAGAAATGAACTAAAAACGGCAAACGACCACATCATTATTAGCCGATTGTTTTCGTCATTTGATAATATTTAATTAAATTTATTTCTTATATATTTTGTAAGATAATAAAACATATTATACGATTTGGTTAGTATTTAGAAGTAGAAATTAGCGATGGATTCGTATTAGAATTCGAAAATTCTTCAATCTAGAAGTTAATATCACTATTTCAATTAGCTTCGTTAAGCTTTTAATAATTTTATACCTTTAAAAGGTCACACTATATATGAGTAATTGTTTCATAAGATAGTAAAATAAGATATTCTTTTAAATAGAATAGTTTCAAAAAAGTAATTTCATAAAATTAAAGAAATTTTGCAAATATTACTCTACAATATATATATATATATATATATATATATATATATATATATATATATATATATATATATATATATATATATATATATAACTATTTCATATGATAATTTTGAAAATAATAATAATATCATTTTGATCATTTTAGCAATTATGTTTTTTATGATCCAGAAAAATAGAAAAATCAAAATCATAGTTTATCTTGGTTAATTATTCCAAAATGTTTTCCATAATTCCACATCATAACCGCGTATAAACATATATCTAGGCATCTTGAATGCGTTATAGAATGACTTATTGACTTAAAACTTAAACTAGTTTAGAATCATTCACTACATAAATTTGATTAATTTTTTTTTTTTTTAGGGAAAATGACTCTTGAGAGTAATTAACTTTTGCGTTTGTACTCATTTGGTCCATTTCTTTTTTTTGTATTCAATATACCATCGAACTTGTTGAATGTGTTCACCATAACCCTTTTGACCGGCTTTTGACCTGTGATAGCCGGTCAAAGGGTTATGGTGAACACAAACAACAAGTTCGATGATATATTTAGTACAAAAAAAGGAAATCGACCAAATGAGAACAAATGCAACAGTTGATTACCCTCCTGATTAATTTTCCCTTTACTCATTTACAACAAATCTCGCGTCATCTTCTACTGATATTAATGACTTTATGAGATTCATTCTTGCTTCTCTTCAAAACATAACCCACGAAAGAATATTATTCATACATGTACAACTTTGTAATGCACTTGAATATTTATTAGGGGAAACTTGACTAAGCAGACGCATTTCATGACTACATTTACATTTCCAATCAAATGATTTATCGTATCATGGATTCTAGACAAGTCTACGAACGAGTGGAATCACAAGTGCTGTGATTTTTAAGTTTACTTAGCTTTAAGATTTAATTCATGGGATAAGATACAACATCAATATGTACAATATCATGCTGCTTTTGTAGACAAATCACCATAATATACCTTGAGGTAAACGTTTATGCTGATAAATATATCTCTCATACACAGTCATATCCTTTTGCAGAGAGGTGTTGACAGCTAACTACAGTAAGCATAGCATAGACCATGTTTTAACGAGGTTACCCCTTTGAAACGCTCTTCATATACGTTATAGCCAAAAAAGGTTACAGTCTTTGATAATTTTGCAACTTTAATTTCATTTAACTTTTCGGGGAATATGGCTCAGGAGGGTAACCAACTGTTGAGTTCGTTCTCATTTAGTCTCTTTTTTTTTTTTGTACTCAATATACCATCGAACTTGTTGTTTGTGTTCACCATAACCCTTTGACTGGCTATCACAGGTCAAAAGCCGGTCAAAAAGGTTATGGTGAACGCAAACAACAAGTTCGATGGTATATTGAATACAAAAAAAAAGAAAAAGACCAAACGAGTACAAACACAAAAGTTAATTACCTCAAGAGTCATTTTCCCTTTTTTTACACACTTTTGTGTTGAAAAACATGCGTCGTTTAGTTTTAAAAAAATCACTCATTTGCTTACGTTGTCTCCTACCAATTCTTTATCCATTTACTTTTCTATCTTTTGAATTATAATGTTACGTACAATAAAGAAAAGAAACATACAAACATACAATAGTCGTTTTCATGTAATTAGAAATTGGAACAAGATTTAAAAAAAAAAAAAAAAAAAAAAAAAAAAAAAAAAAAAAAACTTTGCATATAACTCATAAGGACTACTTAACAAAGACTTTCATGAGGTTGGATGTACGGAATCGGAATCGGCATACACTCCCATTCCAAGATTCAATCTGGGATTCCAATCTAGACCTCAAACAATTCCTAAACTTTCCAAAACATCTTGAATAAATCCCATTAATATTACAATTCGTGTTGTCGGAATCTTAATAATATATACACAAAATGAGGCATACCAATCATGTAACAACACATTCATAACACTATCATCATCATAATCAATCATCACCATGAGTGTAATACCAAAAGGGAGAATTCCTCATTGGCATGGAGGAATCACAACACACCTCCAACCTCTCAAGAAACCGCTTCTCACTGGACCTCAACATGGCCGGCAATGGCAGACAGACACCTTTTTCCGAGCACCGCCTGTGTCTCGGTTTAATCCGGTTCTCTAAACTAAACGAAAAATACTGTGGGAATTCCACCAATTCCCTGGAATCCCGCCCCATTTCCACCACAAAGTAATTGAACTTCGGTTCAAGGTTTTCTTTTATGCTGTAGCAAAACAATGAAGGGAATCGCCGGAAAATCAACATGGTGTCGGAATACGGGATTCCAATGTTTTCATTGAAGTATTCGATACGTGGGAGGAGTTTGTCTTCGACCGAGCATGATAGGAGGTGGGTGTGTTTGTTGATTTCTGAAATTCCAATTGTGCCCTGGAGGAAGTAGAGGGTGGGGCGGAGGCGGGTTTTGACGTCGGAGGTCAGGAGGCGTGGACGGCGGTGGATGACTCGCCGGAGGTGGTGGCTCCGGACGTGGGCTTCCCGGAGGAGGAAGGTGATGGTGGAGATGATGGAGGAGAGTGGGAGTGTGAGGATTTCAGGGCAGAGGGAGACGAGGCGGTTGAGGGCGGGTGGGGGGAGGGGGATGGTGGTGGAGAGGAAGGTGATGGTGGATTTGATGTGTGAAAGGGAGGTGGTGATGAGGGGAGGGTGGGTGGTGAGGAGTGGGATTAGGTCAATTCCGACGGAATCGAGGTAGAAGAGTTTTTCTTGGAGGTCCGTGGTGGGGTTTGTGGCGGTAATAGGCGGTGGAGGAGCGGGTTTGGGCGGGAGAGGGAGGGAGATTAGGGAGGTTTTGGAGGACGATGGAAGTGGGTGGTGGTGCTCCGGTGGAGGACTGTAAGCGTAGGGTTCAAATCCTTTGCTTCTTAACTCTTCCACCTGTAAAAGAATCCATTGTTTTCATTGCAAACATATCTATATGCAATAATGTAGCTCAATGTTTGATTCTACTCAAATTCAAATCCATAAACTCAACTGGAAACCACAATAAACTTCAATAAGTGCTGCAACAAGCAAAATTGGAGTTATATATAACTATCGATTATGTATATTTGACCTAAATCGCAAAGTGAGACATTTCGTTTTTCGAATTGAACGTAATGCTTGTTCTTTAGTGATTGAAAACAGGCAGTTCTTACTCAAGTATGGAAAACACACAATTAATCTGATTTCGTAGAGTAACAATGAGAAACAGAAGATAGGGCAAAACCAGAAAAACAAACAACGAGAGAGTTTTTTTTTTAAGATAATGACCTTTTTTAGACGGATAGGATGAATAGCGTTTATGTCTGAGGTTGAAGTCGAAGTTGAAAGTGCGGATGATCTTATATCCCTGCCGCCTTGTTTCGGCG